TTTTACGCATAATATATCCTCTAAACACATTTCAAGGACCTGTAACTCATAAAGGCAATTTTAGTAAAGAATAATAAAATTGCCTTTTTTTAAAAAAGAAGAAAGAAACATACCAGAGATAAGACCACACAAGGTAGAGAAGTCACTTATACAGGAACAAAATACATAAATAAAAATGAAAAGCCCTGATTCCATTGATGAAATTTCTATACAGGTAATCAATGGCTCAGTGGCTTCAAAACCTGAAAGCAGGTCTGCAACTAGGGTCGGATGGGCGGTGCTTGTTTTGACAGTATGTAACAATGTCCACAGGTGCTGTACAATAGTTATCACTCTGCATTCAATAGCTCCTCCATGTCAAAAGGCTGCACAAGCCACACTGCAAAGCATAAGTGCACTTGGATAGCAACTGCTGTTCAATCAGAAACCACTCTCCATTAGAACTAAGGAGCTTATGTTAAAGGAAGTGAAAACAAGGAGAAACTGGCTTTAAACGGTTCCGTGAATTGAATGTGAACAAGTCTGCTCATTCTCATTTCAAATGCAGAACTCTCTCTTTTGTCTAAAGTCTAATCTGAGCATTTTCAGTAAACAAATATTAAACTGAACTATCTACAAAGTTGATATTCCAATCATTCTTGTGCAAGGAGCTTTTATGTGAGAATAAAACGCAGTTGCTGTGATGTGCAGGGGTAATTTAAGGACAGCATCTTTCTCTACCCAAAGGTCTGCCTTCCACTCTTCCTGTCCTGAACAGTGGAACACCTCCCCTCCCCCCTGCTTGGACCTGTGTGAGGAAGTGCCCCCAGTCCTAAGCTTTCTTTATGTGGGCCAGGAATCCAGTAGGTGTATGAACCTTTGCAATGTGGGCCTGCATTACGAAGATATCAAAGAAGCCAGGAATTTCAAAAGCAGTCCCACCATTAAATATATGCTTTGCTGTGAAGAAATGTTGTAGTTGCTATATAGGAACAATGTATAGGAAATAGAACCATGACTTATCTGCATGACGGACATTGAATTTAAAGTGCTCATGTCACAAAAATGAAGGAGGATGAAAAAGCTAATCTCTCCTTTTTTCTAGGGAAAAAACAAACAAAACAAAAACATTTCCAGAGAGAAATGGGCTTTTTGTTGTTGTTCCCTAGGAATGTTTATTGAAATTGTGCTATCCTGAAATTGCCGAGGAAATACATTTCTAACAGAAACTAGCTCGGATTTCCCATAACTACAAAATTATCATTGTGGTTTCACTGGGAGAAGGCATGTATGTATTACCCCTTTAGAGGTTAAAAAAATATACGTAAGAACCTTTTTAAACAATGTGTCGTCTTTTCGTTGCTTCCTTAAACCAACGAACGCCTGCCATCAAGCCAATTATGAGCCACAGTGATGCTACATAAAAGTGTCAAGGCTGTAAAGGGAGCAGTAGGGCCTCATCTCTCTCCCTCAGAACAGCTGGTGGGTGTGAACAGCCCAAAGTGTGTCCAATATTTCCAGTAGGGCTGCTTGCTCCCTTAAACAGAGCATCTAAAATATTATTTAATCTTTAAAAAAAGTTTTAGTATTGGCATCTTAAATTTCTGAGCATTGAGTTTTCAAAAAATGCTAATTTACAGTGAAAGTTCTAGATACATTTGAGTCCCCAGGAATTAAGCCTCCATTGAATTCCTTCTGACCATTAACCAGCAGAAGGAATATGTTACCCCCAGACAGAGCACATTAGGATGAATGACTGTCCCTAGTTAATCCAGGGAGGGTGGTATGGCCTGAAGGAGTTGCCTGGGTGTGCCCGCAATGGAAATTGGGGTGCCTGACTGCCTTGACCATAGGGACCTGAAACAATCTTGAAAACACTTTTCCTAGAATATACAGGTCATGGTCAGGGTCCTGTTCCTACTTCCGCAGTCCTACCTATAACTGTGATGTATTAATCTGTCACAATCATGTTTCTGTGATAGTTTTCCTTTGCCAACCCCCACCCCGCCCATGTCCTATGTAAGTCTCTGATTAACCCTTGAACAGTATCATAACTTCATACTAATGGTCTCCCTCATTTGAATGATGTGTCTTTGTCTTTTCTTGTTTAGGACCATAAATTTTCTCTCTAAACTATATTTAAGATTTGGGGCTTCTTTTGTACCCTTAAACACATCAAGAGGTTAGTAAGTGGATCTTGCCATAATGCTCAGTATGATGCTTCATTTATTTGGTCTAAGAGAAAGACTAGCAGGATTAGGGAATTCTCTCCAAATAACTTTTAATTAAAAGATGTAATGAAAAAATTAATTCTCTAAACCCACAGATTTTTAATCATATGAAAAATCTCTATCTATCCTTTATTTTGATACAGGTTAGTTTCCTAGAGGGCTGTGGAAACTCATAGCGTTCCTTTAACAAAGAACCTCAATATTCTTGACAATCCAGGCCACCTGTTTCCTTTGTTAATGTCTCACTTTCATTTGTTGGTTTGTTTTGTCACAAGTGCCTCTCCCACACCACTGCTTCTCCACTGGTCTTTCCGGTCCCCCTTGTCTTTCTGACCGCAGCCTGGAGCAAGCACTGCCTTCCGAAGTCTTCACAAGCATCCCTTCCTTTACGCAGCTTAGCTTTTCTAAAAGACCTGCAGTAATCCCTGGTTTTGGTAACAGGAAAGCTTTCTAAGACGGTTTGCACACTTTTACGAAAAAGCAAACCCAGCAACCAGTGTTTGTTCTGCGGTGAACCTTTTTAAAGAGGCAGAACACACCCAAAGCAGCCCGAGTGGCCTTCCCGGGCTCCTGCCCCAGGAAATGCACTCCGTTTGTCAGCATCAAGCTGTCAGAGGTTTACATGCCGTCAGTGAACAGTGTATGACTATGTTATTTTAGGTTCTATGTTGTTACTCAGTATGACTTGATAGGTTATCTTTTGGATCTAGGAAGGTTCCAAAATTTTCTCACAGAAATGAATGATAATTGTTTTTTTGATTCACACCATTTTGTCTCACAGGATCGGTCTAGCTTCAGATAATGGGGAAACCTGTAACTCCAATACTTGCTTCCACTTTTCATTCTCTCCATTTTGGTGAAAGACCTGGCAATTTCAAGAGTGTCCCAACACATCCCGAATCAAGACGAAGGCACGACTGTGTGATTTGCTTTGAGAATGCAGTTATTGCTGCCCTAGTTCCATGCGGCCACAGCCCCTCCTGCATGGGACGTGCCAACGAGATCTGTGAAAAGAGAACGCCATCATGTCGTTTGCCAGACAGCTCTTACTCAGGCATCCAAATGCACTCTTAACTATGTACCTATACATAAATACTACATCGCTATATGGACTCGTAAAGGCATGGGTATAATGGTACACCACCACCCCCACCCCCACCACCACCACCACCACCACCACCACCCACCCCCGGTGAAATTCCTAATGAATTCTTATGATTGTTATCAGGCTTTACTGGGATTAGGCTACAGTTGTTAACAAACTTAGAAAAGGCTGCTATGGTGACATTAAAAAAAAAAAAAAGAATATCCCAAGGTGGAAACAGCACACAACATTTTATACCTCAGTTTAGGTGTTCGCCCCTTGCTTTGATTTTGACAACAGTCTTGGTCGTGAGTAAAATACAGTATCCCCAGATAGTCCACCCAAAATCTTAGCATGTGACCTTATTTGGAAAAGAAGTCACTGAAGACATAATTAAGGTTAGGATCTAGAGATGATACCATCCTGGATTAGGGTAAATCCAGTACTGAATGTCCTCATAAAACAGAAAGGAAGGCAGTGACATAGAGGCAGGGAGAAGGCTGTGTGGAGACAGGGCAGAAATTAAGGTAACTTAGTTTAAATTCTAAGCACTTAATTTGGCAGACTATTTACCTGGGAAGTCTACTCCATTTTGAGATTTAACATCAATTGTCTCCATTAAATTCTGCCTGACCATTAATCTGGCAATGTAAACAGATTTGCCTTAGGCAGACTGTGTTTGAAAGCAGATTTTAAAAGCTCCCCCAGTCAGCACACAGAGGAGAGGTGTTTTACCTCTGGGATTATATTCCAGGAATTAAATTGTAGGACACACACCATAGTCAACTGGTGTAACAGTCCACAAAGATAATGTTCAACATCCTTCTTTGGTGAGTAGTGACTGGCGTCTTAAACGATCATGAGAGGCCATCTAAAATACAACTATCGGTCTCTAATTATTCAAAGCAAAAACAAATGAAGGAAACTCGAGATGCATGGAAACAATTCGTCCAATGAACTAACGGACCAAGCAAACATCAACCTCCACAAAGATCAGAAGTAGATAGTGTTCAGTTACCACCAACCCCTAACTAACTGCTCTGCAAGGCATCACTTTAGAAGGTGTTGAGTAAAGTGGGAGAAAATGTGGAACAAAATTCAAAATCATTTAAAAAAAAAAAAAGACCAGCCTTATAGGTCATAATGGAACCCCCAAAGGTATAGCCGTCAGTCACACTTCAGGTCTTGAATGAACTCAGACTCAGGGCTCAATTTTCATCCCAAAATAAGCCAATCTCTAAGGGGGAACAATAACACCAGGGAGGTAGCACTTCTTAGAATTATCAACAATTTGAGATCAAGATAATAGTATTCACCCAAAGTTCATAAGTGTTTGGAAAAACAGAATGCAAACAGAAAGCAGAGAGTCAGAGTTGGGTAAATGATATTATACACTGTGGGAATGGCGATCAATGACATGAACCAGAGGCTCTGTATCTCTCACTTAGGCTTATGGTCTCCAAATGATGAAATAAGAGGAATTCAGGTAGGAGACCAGCTTTACCTCTAAAGAACTTACCAGAATTTATGGGTGTCCTGAGTTATGATAACCATAACTGACTACTTCCAAGGAGTTCAGAATCTTAATAAATTAGTCTGTGGGCATATAGGAAATTGAATAAACTTAAAATCCATATTCTACATTGTGCTTTCTCATCCTAAACCTCCTTAGTCTGATGTACTGAATGTTATATAAAAAGCATGGCCTGTTTGGCTTTTGAGTTCTTCTCACTTGTACTTCCATCCACTCCCCTGAGAACACTGATGACATCTTTCTTAGAGACAGTTGTTTCCAAGTTAGCACACTTTCTAACAGAGCCCCCGGCTTCGTTCTCCTTTCCATCAAGGTTCTTTACATGCTTCCGAACGAACAGCGTTAAGTAATTGCTCTAAACCCAAAACAATGCAGTTATGTAACAATTACACTGGAATGTAAAGTCTATCAGGGCTGCAACAAAGTGTTTCCACTCTCTAGAAAAGAGGAAAACACTACAGTATGTACTCAAATGATAGAATGAAATGAATAAATACATATGAATGAACATGCATTTCAATGAATGAAAGTACACTGCAAATGCAGAGAATAAATATAGGTGGAATGGTGTGTGACTTTTTTCAGCCTTGTTCTTTCTAAACCAATTTTTGTGCAATTTGAACTGAAAATTGCTTTTCAAACAAATATTTCTTTCTCAAAATATACTTTTGTAATAGTTGAAGAATTGGATGGTGTTCCCTCCAAAAAGATGGTAGACGTCCTAACAAGCATACCTGTGCTTGGGCATAAAGTCTTTCTTGCACGATGCTAGTTAACGAGATCACACCAGGGTAGGGCGCTCCTGTTGCCGCCTGAACGGTGGTTTAAAAAGAGCAGAACAAGCACAGAGAGCTGAATGTGACAGGCGCAAGGATAAGAAGACTCCACGTGAAGATGCATCTACAAGCCAGGACACGCCAACATTACCCAGTCACTGAAGCGAGGAGAGACGCATGTCCTTATTTGGACTTCTAGCCTCCAGATCTGCTCTTAAAAGAACACAAGTTTCTGCTCTTTAAAGGGATTTGTTATTGTAGCCTAGGCACACTGCTGCCCTGGAAGGAGCTGCCTGACACAGTGGCCACTACGCTCCAGAGGCTGGCGAGAGCAGGAAGGTGGTAAGCCAAAATTGGGTGCATTCTACACACCCAAAACTTGGTATAAAAAAGAGAATTAAACATAATTCACTGTGGGGCAAAGGAGACAACAGTCAGTTAAGATATGAAAATAATAATAAGTTATAGTTTATCACGGGGTCATGCGGATAGGTGGGGCGAGGTAGGGCAAAAAGAGGAGCTGATACCAAGGGCTCAATAGAAAGTAAATGTTTAGAAAATGATGATGGCAACATATGTACAAATACGCTTGATACAATTGATGCCTGGATTGTTGTTAGAGCTGTAAGAGCCCCCAATAAAATGATCTTTTAATAATAAGTATACATATCACTGTTCTATACAGATTGCACACTGAAATGTTATTATTTCAATACATTGGGTTAAGTAAAATATATTATTGGAATTAATTTTACTTTAATTTTCTCCATGCAGTTACTGGAAAACCTTGAGTTCACATTATGTTGCTCTGTTATCTGAAATCAGGAGGGACTTATATGGCCTAGACAGGAATTCTCTGCTCCCAATTGTGCTAATGGATCATTTCTCCCAGCCAAATCATCCCTCCTTAGCAGTGGAATAAGGCAGAGGGCCTGCCTCTCTCTGGGTAGCAGCAGGCTTCAGTTCCCCATAGCTCATGGAATTATTCAAACAAGCCAATCACATCCTCCAGCAGGGGTGGTGGGGGTAGGGGTGGGGGTGTTACCTCACCCTCTTGTGATACAAAGCTCTTGGCCCCCAGTGCCTGCTGCTTCTGTTCCCAAAGTTGATGGGAGTGGCCTTGCCAAATGAGGTGACTTCCTCCCATGGATGGTGCGTTTATGTGGCCATTGGTCTGCTCAGTATCAGATGCTGTGGGGGCTAGCCATCCCATAATGCTAAGGCAAAACTCCTTCCCTCACCAATGGGGTACAAGGTGAAGAGGAGGTGAGCAATACAATTATACATGTGGCTCATAATATATTTAGCACACAAACTCACTGCTATTAAGTAGATGCCAACTCACAGTGACAATAAAGAACGAGGAGGAAATAGCCCTGCTAGTTTCTGAGACAATAACTCTTTACGAGAGCAGAGCTTAAAGCAGCTGGTGCTGTCATTCTGCTGGCCTGGAAGTCAGCAGCTGGCTGACACAGAGGCACGACAGTACTAATTTAGACCATGACAACCTCTGCTAGCTTTGAAACTGTACAATCTATGAATTGTCTTCATCATAACTGTTGGGCCTGGCAATCCACCTTGGGCTCCAAGCATTCCCACATAGCTTTACTGGGTTTGGGAAGGCTGGAACACTTTCATCCGGGACATTTTCTAGAGTTGTGTTTCCAGTGAGCAGCCTTGAGGGAAAAACTAAGAATACTGGAGACGGTGCAATAGTTATGCAAGAATAGGGCCCCTCCTCTGTAATATAAGCAACCAAATGCAGGAGAATCTATTAGGGAGCCTGCATGGCCCCTCTGGGACAAGAAGCACTGGAGACATGACATTCTGCCTACTGCTTTTGCCATTAGAGATAAAGTCCTTATCTCTGACTCAAGAGTCTCTTGTCTTTTGTGAGTGAGGGAAACTGAGGACTGGGAAGAGAATGTAGATGGACAAATTCTCTATGCTCATGATTAAGAACCCTGGGAGGAAGGATTCTGGGTGGAGGGAAGCCTTCACATTTGTGAGTTGGAGAAGAGTCCAAGTTGCATTCTCCTAATTAAAAATCATCCCACAATATCCTCCCGTAATAGTGCTACCTTAATGTTACTTCTCACAAGCTGATTACTATGCAGCCGGGAACCATTCTCTATAGGAGTAGACATGTTGCTATTGTTCTCCTAGCTCAGGGGTCAGTCACCTCCCTTCTACCTGCTCCCAGCACTGCTGTTAGGTGACTCCGCCTGTGAACTCAGAGACATCTAGGTTAGGGCACTGCTCACCGTGTTGCATATGTGATTGTCTGTAGCTAGAGAGGGGTGCATGTCCCAAGACTATATAACTTGGTGAAAGAATACATTTGCTCTCTCTCAATCCTGACCCCTTGGAGGAGGTGATTACACTGTATTTGTTATCTGTCTCATTCATTTCCTCTTAATTGTACAATCATTCCTTAGAACCCAATTGGTTGTGGGAGGCAGGCTTCCTCTCACAAAGAATAATGGGACAAAATGAAAGTAAATATAAAACTTACTGTATTACTCCCACCCATCTACGGAAAAAGCAAAAAGATGCAAGGGTTTCTACAAGTAATGAAAAAGTATAAGCCATGATTCCCCGAGGAAGAAACTTTTCAAGAGACCTGGGAGATGATACCTGCACACTTAAAGAAAGCAAGCAGAGACGGGGAGAAGATCGCCATGGGAACCTGGGTTCTGTGGGCAAAACTTAAAATGGTTTTAGAACCATTGCATACAGAGCAAGAAAAGAAAAGGATCATCAAGGTAGCGAAAAGTCTGAAGTAAACTATCCAAGGTTACAAAAGCAGGCAAAAGTCCTTCAGAATGAATATGAAGCAGTTGAAAAGATTTTAGAAAAAAAACGGAAAAAGCTAAGTCCGATTCAGAAGGAAGCCTCCTGGCCAATGACTGTGTCCCTGAGGAATGAGCAGAGCGGACTGGGAGCCATAAATAAATAAGAGTTAGCCAGTGCAAGAGATCAGGTGAGGGCACTAAGTGCAGCAAAGCACCTTGACTTTCAAAGAGAGAGAGAGGAATTGCAGAAGAAGGGGGTTGGGAAACTACTGTAGATTAATCTTCCCTGTTCCTGTTATCGAGTGGCACCCAACGCAGAAAATCAACAAGGACTTCAGGAATGTCATTATAGTACGGTGACCAGATTTTAACATTGGTAAAGCGGGACACCATTGATAAAACTCATATCCTGGTGAAATAGGCACATGGCAGCCAAAAACTGCATACCCTAGCTTGTCGTGCATTCTTTCTAAAAACCGGGACTTTTTAAAAATGCTGTGGGACACGGAAAACATTGTTAAAAATCAGGACTGTTCTGCCAAAAGCGGGACGTCTGGTCACCTTAACGTTATAGTGCCTTCCCTTTTCAGCTAGATTCAAACAAGCTGTCTCAAAATACAGGGCTGGCCCTCCTTTCATAATTAGCATGATCAAATCATTAGCTGACGCTGACAGCTGGATTCCCTTGGAGTGGAAAGCTTTAACTGTAGCTTTCCTTTCTCTGTCAGATTACTTCCACTAATTTAGTGGTCTTAAGGAGCTAAAACAAAAGCTATAGGAGTAGATCAGTTATTAGGGGATTGGAATTACATTACCATGGATGCACCACTGCATCTTACTGAACAGGCATTCTCACAGATTTGTGAGGTTTGTCTGGGAAAAAATAACACTATCAGGAGAGAAATGGCCCAGTTACACTGTTATAAGACAGCAAAATAATGAGTCCTATATAGATTTGTGTCCTGATTGCAGGATGCTGTGTGCAAAAAAGTCAGCAATGTAGGCGTAGCAACAGTCTGATGCACACCCTTGCTTATGAAAATGCCAATCTGGACGGTCTCTACAAAGAACAGGGCACATCTTTAAACAATCTTCTGATCTGCAGGGGAGTGGGATCTGAGTGCTCAAAGCAAATCTTCTATCAGCCCTGATGGCCAACCACATCAAGCTGCAGAAAAGTCGGTCAGTTTCATAGGTAGTGCCAGCAACGCCCACCAATCATCCAGGTGGTGACAAGCAGAGCAGGGCCTGGACCACAGCAAGGACCAGGGCCAAGGTCTGGGTCAAGAGAATGCCACCGCTGCAGAAAGGGGAATCATTAGGCAAATTAATGCTGCTTGAGATTCAACAGTACAGGAGTTCTGTCAGTTAAATACTTCCTATCCCAGAAATGAGGAGCAGGGTGTGCTTCGAACCCCATCACCACAGCCTGGAAAATGCAATTCCTGCCCAGCTCAGCACAGAATGCATTCAGCACCAATGAGGCCTATGTCTCAGTCCTGCCCCCAGAGGGAACTCCTCCATAGCATTATCTAGCCAAGACGCCAGTCAGCTTATATCAACTAAAAGTTGAGCCAGAAATTATTAAAATTATCTGTGGTTAGCTGCCTAAAAGAACAATAGGGCTTTTATTAGGAAGATCCAACTTAAATTCTCAAGGTGTTCAGATTGTTACTGGGGTTATTGGTCAGAATTATGGAGGAGGAAATTAAGGCAGTGATTAAATCTGCAGTACTGTGGGTTATAAAGAAGGGAGACTGCATAGACCAATTACTATTGCTT